AAGAGTGTTGCTAGCACAACGCCTTGATGGTCTTTAAGTGCAAGACATGTCTCTTGCGATAGAGGCTGGAGTGTCATGATTGTGCCTTCATCAAAGGTGCATGTTTCGGATTGATTGAAAACGACGCAAACTTTCTCGGTAGCGGTGATAGAGGTGACTTGTGAGCATCCTCGTGTGTGCTGCAACTTTACCAACGAAACGAGAAGGCTAAGCAGCAATTTTTTCTTGATTCGTTGCTGTTTGCTGACGTATTTAGGAAAGTTGTGTCGTGATGGCTGGAATTCCGATTGGCGTCTCACGGGTAAAACGTTTCTCATGCAGTAGTAAGTGCACTTCAAGAGGTTTCGTATGATTCCTAGGAAAAAGGCGACGATCTTTATGATAAGAAGTATCCATGGTAATATGAGAAGAATGAGTAATGCGCCTGCGAAAGCGAGAGCCATCTCAGTCAGTGTCCAACACTGTGTGTTGTAGAGTCGTTCTAGACAGAAGGAGCATAGTAGCCTCTCGCATATTGGATGTGCCTTGCAGTGTACCTTTCTTGTGTAGGATTTTGAGTTGATCCAGACAGCGACTGTGACAGTGTAGTCGTACAGGACGATCGAGTTTGGGAATATCATGTCGTGGGTGGGTACTTGCTGAAAGAAAACACAGTATTGTTCTATGCAAGCCTCCACGAATTCGTATTTGGAATTGATGGCCAAAAACAGTCCTCCTTTGGAGCAATTTGTGACGAGTTGTATGTCAGTTGTGGTCACAGCATCAGCATTCAAGGTAACGATGGCATCATTTTGATGATTATTGCTGTTCACGGCCTTAGTGGGATATCCATAGTACGTCTTCGCTATGGAGCCCCAAGCTCTGATCGGGATAGTTAGGTTAGATGTAGCATCGAGAACAAGCAATGCTAACGGATTGTCGTAGGCGCAAAATAGACGTGCTCTTGGGCTGCACTTGTGTCTTTTGCAAAATTGTGATGTTCCAGTGACAAAGTTTGTTGCTTGTCGCTTCCAACCTTTCTTGTCTATACATAAAAAGTCGTATTTGTCGATATAGTCGCGTATGTCTATCACTAGGTTTTCCACTAAAAGTAGCGTGTCGTCGTAGAGCTGTACCTGGTTGAATAATCCCAATCGTTTGATTGAATCGCATGAAGTGGAAGACTCAAACGAGCACACGTAATTGGGTTGGTAATGGAGGAAAAAGGATGGTACTTGTTCGAGGTACGACAACGTTGTGTAAGAGCTATCACTGAAAGAGCACGTTGATGTCCAAGAAGGGCGCTTGCATTCTTTTCCACACACTGTTGAGGAGTTGGCTTGGAATCGTATGTGGCCTAGCGGACACAAAACAGGAAACCAACATAGAGGATTTCCATCGTTGTTGATCCTTGCGATAGCAATACCTCTGGTTACGCAATTAGTCGCGTACAGTACAGTTTTTTCTACAGTAAAATCTTCTGGACATCGATTATGATTTGCTTCTATAGATGTGTTGTAGAATCCGAGTATAGTCTGAGGTTTCACAATTGCAAGTGAGGAAAGCAGACTAAGGCATAAAAGGATATTGTTTGCCTGTAGTCTTGTTCTTGACCTGGTCATCATTGGGTGTCTCGATTGCGATTTTTCGTTGGAGGGGGAGGCGAATCGGTTTTCTTCTCGGAGGTTCGTTGTTTGCTCCGGATCTAGTTCCATTTTGTGGACGAGGTTATTCGGACGTGTTATGATTCTTTTTGAAGGCAAGCGTATTTCAACTGATCTTCGATAATCATCCTTGGATCCTATCACTTCTCCCATTTTCCACTGTCCGCGGTTTAAGTATTGGTCGTGTATGAGGACAAAGTCTCCCTTTTTTGGAGGGGCATTTTCGTGTAACCTGGGTTCTTTGTGTTTGTCCTTGTAGTGTTCTCGCAGTGTGGTCAGGTATTCGGTGGTCCATCTTTGCCAAAAGTTGGAAATGAATTTGTTTGTACGACTCCACTCCGCCAGCAATGTTGTGTGTGTTGTCGGGTACGATATCCAGTCGTCTTCTTGGTCCTTTGGATAAATGCTGCTGAGTAAGGTATACGGTCGAATGAAATCGATTGGACGTAATGGCAAGTAATTCGACTCGTCAACATAGTATGTGAGTGGTCTCATGTTCACTATAGCCTCAGTTTCTTTGGCTAGTGTCTTGATGTCTTCAATGTCGAGCAAATTGCTTCCGATGGCGAATTTGTATGACTTCTTGAAGATATCTATCATTTTCTCGTACATATCTCCTTGCCATGGACTTAGGCTTGGAATGAATTTCATTTCAATTCGTCGTTTTGAGCAGTAATCGATTATGTCTGGATCAGTATGAGGTTCGGGGAGAGAAGTGAAGCAACGATTGATTGTTTTGAACGATTGAGCGTTATCGCAGATAATCCAAGATGGACATCCCATGGTGGCAAAGAAGCGTCGCAGAGTGTGTAGGACGGTGTGCGCAGACATGTCGAGAAGAGTGTCTACGTATATGGTTCGACAATTCAAACATGTGAATAGAAGCATCCAGTAGTTTCCAATGGACTGATCTTGAGTCCTGTATGAAAGAGGTCCAAAGAAGTCCATGCCGGTGTTCTGGAATGGGTATTGAGGTGGTTTTACTCTCTTGTCTGGGTGAACGGGGAAGGGTGGAAGAACGTATGGTTTCGCTTGATATCGTTTGCACTGATAGCAGTCGCTGTGTATGATTTTCTTCACTACGGCTCGTCCTTGAGGTATCCATGCCCGTAGGCGGCAGAGTGTCAGGGTATGATTAACTCCGCAATGGTTGTTGACTTGATGAATGTGGAGCACAAAAAGTGAGGTTATCCTGTTTAAGCGTGGCAAATAGACTGGAGTAATTGCTTCTGAAAGTAGATTAGCGTGGTCTATTCGGCCTTTACTTTCCCATAATCGAGTTTGGGCGCACTGGAAAAGATGAAGTTGTTTTTTGTGTTCCTTGGGTAGTGGAGTCACCGCTTGAGCAAGACGAAATATAAGAATTTCTGCGTGATTCAGACGTGTTGCCTTTGAATATCCAAATACCGTAGTCGTTCGTGGTATCTTATCTGTTATGAATTCCAGAACATACGCGAGGGTGTTTACTAGCTTGGTCCATGTGCTGAAACGTGACGCATCTATGACCATGTTGTTCCAATTGTTAGGACCGTCATTTTTGTTAGATAAAAAGACAGATGTGGAAAGCGGATTGCACAGAAACGTTTAGGACTTCTTCCCTTTTCCTTCTTTTGCAGTGTCTGTGTTGCTAGTTTCAAGAGTTTCCAATAAATTTGAGGGCCACGATTCTGGTTTCTCCTTGAGGAATTTTGGTCCGTTCCACCACTGCTTGAACTTCAGCAGCTCCTCAATTGCAGCTCCTCGTGTTCCTACATCCGCAGGATTGAGTTCACCGGGAATATGCCTCAAAATGACATCTGTGGTGTTTTTGAGAGTAATCTTTACACGATTTCGGACGAAGACGGGAAGATCTCTATTGCTTTTAGTCCAAGCAAGAGATACGATGCTATCGGTCCAAAGATACTTTTTACAAACACGGAGGTCGAGTTGCTTCGTGACGTATGTGAGAAGTTTTGCGCCAATTATCAGTGCGGCTAGTTCCAGTCGTGAAACTGTGATGGATTGATTGAGTGGAGCTAACCTGGATTTTGACATAAGTAACGATATCCTTGTGGGTTTGTCCGTGTGACGTTGTACGATATAAGCAACGGCGCAGTAGGCGTTAGCTGAAGCATCGGTGAATACGTGAATGTCGAAATCCGCTAAGAAATCATTCGGATCGATGAGCAATCTTGGTATAGTTAGTTCTGGTATTGTCCAGGAAGAGATTATTTGATGCCACTTGTCGTATTGCTTGTTAGGTAGGGTTTCATCCCAAGATAAGTCGATCTACCAGAGTGATTGAAGAAATAATTTTCCAATGAGAAGGACCGGTGAAAATAATCCGATTGGGTCGTAGATCTGAGCGATATATTTCAAAACTTTCCTTTTAGTCTATATGAAGTTGCTCTTAGGTGTTTCAGGCAACGAAATGATAAGTGTATCATCCTCTGTGTTCCAGTGTAGTCCAAGTAGTTTCTGTATTTGTTGAACTTTACATTTCTCGTTCTGTTCGAAGAACTCATTCAATTCTTTTGAGTTGCTCGCATAGGCTCGTAGGTTCATTCCGGCTGCAAGAAAAAGTTCCTTCGATTCCCTGTAAAAGGTGACTCCGTCTTTGCTTGTTTCTACTCCATGAAAGATATTATCAACGTAAGTGTTTCGAAGAAGATGTCGAGCTACATTCGTGGTAGTCGAAGAAAGGTGGAAGTGTATCGTAGCAGCCAAGAGAAACGGGGAACAAATAAGTCCAAACGGCACACGTGCAAAACGATATGTGACTAAATTCTCGGAGCTTATGGACTTCATTGGATCGTTCAACTACAGAAAACGTGTGTAATCTCGAGAGTCTTCGTGTAAGCCAACCATAAGGAAGGCTTTCTCTATGTCGCTTGAGATTAGGATCTTGTAGAGTCTGCTCCGAAGAAGGATTCCAGTGAGATCTGGTAGGAGTACTGGTCCGCGATGCAAGATGTCGTTGATACTGAGACGTCCTTTTAGTTTGGCAGATCCATCAAATACGCACCTTATTTTTATGTTTTCGCCGTCCTTCTTGACAACTCCATGATGTGACAAATAATGACAAGAATTTGTAACATCATTGGTCGGTACTCGCTCGATGATCTGCCTCTGTAGTTGGTCTTTAAAAATCTCATGATATTTCTGAAGGTAAGCAACATTCTGTTGTAGAAACCTATGCTGCGCGCACAGGCGCGAATACGCAAGAGAAAAGTTGTTGGGCAATTCAAATGGATTCATCTTGAATGGTAATTTCACTACGTACCTTTTCTGTGTCTCATTGTAGTAGACAGTATCGTTGAAGTGTTTAAGAAATTGTTCATCATTTGTTGAGAAGGGTTGTCCAGTATCCCAATTGTTTCAAGTCTCCAGAAGTTGTTGACCAACGAGTTCTTCGTGATTCGTAGGACTTGACGCATCGTCCATGTCAGTAGTGGAGTTGACGGCAGTGCATGTGGTGTAATTTTTTGCTTTGAAAGCTCTCCCCACAACCATGTCTCCGATAGCTGTATGCAGAATTCGATAATTCTTTGAGAGGGTTCTGTGATGGAAGTCTTCTGATAATATAATGTCCCAGAAATAATCATTTCCAATAAGAATGGACGGTTTGCAGGCAGAAAAGGTGACATTACCCGTTGATCCTTCCGGGATGTAAATGCGTTGGAGATTTCCAGTAAGCAACGGCACAGATTTCACCTGGAGGTGTTTGACTCCCTTTTCGGTATACAGGCCGATTATGTGATTTCGGCATTCCAGTTCCAAGGATTCGACTTTCCCAAAGGTGGAGAGGCTGATATGTTCGGTTCCTGTAGTAGGCAAATGAAGGATGGTAGCAATCTCGTCGGTGATGTATGACTTGTTGGGGCCGCTGTCAAAAAATGCCGTTACTGTCGCTTGATGCGAGTGGTCATTTGTATTGAAGAGTGTTACAGTTGTGCACATCAGTGCAGTCTGATTCGTCATATTCGTTGCATTGTTGGTTGAGCAAGCGACAGGAGCTTGCATTGTAGGAACGTCGATTTGTGAGTCAATTGGCTGTTCCTTCGGATCAGAAGAAGAGTTAACAAGCTCCTTTTCCTGTTCTTCTAAGTGAACTGTATGGTTCTGCAGCCTCGATGGACGGTTTGTAGAAGGCGTTACATTATGGCGGCGTGTTGATTGCGTGGAAGTGTGCTTGTTATGACTAGGCGATATGGAAGCCGTCTGAGAGCGATTCAATCGAAAACATAATGAAGAATGGTGTTTTTTAGAGCAAAACCTGCAACGGAATTTTGACGTACATTCTCTTGTACTGTGAGAAGTTGAAAGACAATTGAAGCAAAGTTTCCGTCGTTTTACTTGATCGATGCGCTCCTTTGCTGTGGGGAAGGCATCACACTCTGTTTTTGAATGAGCAGTTGAATCGCAGAACTGGCACTTACGCTTGTTTTTCTTTTCACCTGGAATCTTGCGTGGCCGAGGTATCTTGCTGAGTACTACATGGAATCCTTGAGTTGCATTTCTTGTATGGATGGGAAAACGCGCATGATATTCCATTTCGAACAGGGTAGAGTCTTTTCGAACAATGTCCGTTAATAGGTGGAGTAACTCCGATGGGGAAACGTTGTGATCGTTTGCAGTGCGGTCATATACCAGACTTCTCACTCGCAAAGGTAGTTTATTGAGAAGGAGCGCCCCGAGGGCAGTCTCAGAGGAGTCATCATGGTTGTTTGCAAACTGTCGGACGATAGAAAACATTTGGTTATACAGGATAGGTAGATGGCGTCCTTCAGGGTCGCAAGGCGGTAACTGTGCCAGTTTAGTGAAAAGGATGTGCCTGACAGTCACCTTGTCATCATAAAGTGTCTTCAGTATGTCCATGGCAATGTGATAGTTTTCGGCCGTTATTGAAAGTCCTTGGATCGATTGTAATGCTCTTCCGCGCAGGCATGATTCCAATAGTGAGAATTTCGTAGTGTCGTCAAGTTGGATCTTGTTGGCGACAAGTGTTGAAAAGCGAGCATTGAATTCGGGATAGTCCAGCAGGTTGCCATCGAAGGTTGGCAAATCCAATTTTGTCAGAATTGAGGCATCTACAAAGTTAAGTAGAAATGCATCTGGAGCAGAAGTTGCTGGGTGAATAAGGCGTCCTCTTTGATTCGCAAGGCTATCACTGTGGACTTCGTCGTCCTCTGCGTGTGTCCCATCAGATTGGGAGGGTGGATGAAGTTCCCGTTTTACGTATTCTGCGTCAAGAACATTCAGAATAGCATCAAACTGTTCGAGGTTGTTGACAGAGAGAGCAATGTCTGCACGATAGTCTCCATTCTTCGTTATGTAATCTTCAAAGACCTTTTGCTCGAGTGGGTTAGAGTCTTGAAGTGTTGTCCATTCGTCGTGGAGCTTGGCAATTTTATTGTAAGTCTTCAATAAGTTTGTCTTCGTGGACGTCAATTCAAATCAGAAAGATTCCAGATCGTCGTTGTTCAAATGGCTTACAGTAGGTTGAGATGGTTCAATTCGGTACTCCTTGAAGATATCAGTGGCTGCAGAACAGTATCGTTGCAACTGTTTTTTGAAGAAACCAATTTGTCTCCGAAGAACTATACTGTCAGGAATTGGCATCTCTTGAGGCGGGTTTTCTTGATGTCAAGATTTGTGTCGATGATTAGCGGCAGTGAGCGATAGAAGAGAGTGGCGACGAGGAGTTTTTGGACTTGAGCTTACTATAGTGGAGGAGGTGCAGCCGCACGGAAAATGTGAGGGAATGGCTGTTGATATCCTGCCGTGGTCGCCAGATGATTTGACTTGGAAGTGACCGCGAAGGTGATGGAGAAGTTTATTGCATGTGGGCGATAAGCAAGGTGACAATTCATAGCGAGCTTATATATCATACTACTCTCTTCTCTTCGTACGCTATTTCCCGAATAAGACAACATAATTCGAACAACATCACATAATCGAAATACCGTAAAATGAATATTAGAGCATTGACTCAATCGTTAGACATAACAAAATGTACATTTACGAAAATGACTCGACATCTCTAGTATAGCTAGGAGGAAAAGATGATTCATATTCGGCATTTCATTGCTATGAGGAATACGAAATTATCGGGCAGATAAAAGGCCATCATCAAGGTGAACATAGTATCATAGTGTTGAAAAAGAACATCGATCTTAGTCAGTATTTACCTGAGCCATCGTATTCAATCGCAACCGAACATTTCTTGAGCCTTCAACTCCATGTTGTAGGCTAGAGGGAGAGTTTAAGTCACTTTCGGCAGTAATTCGAAAAACAAGAGCATTCCACTAGGCAAGAGACCAGAATGGATCCTCACTTCTTGCTGTGCTCATCATACCCACTTCCAACATATGAGAGCATCAATACGTCACCAGTTTTTTACGATATGCTACCTGGGCGAAGAAAACGTGACCAAATAACTTGTGATTGTCTGAAGTTTTAACAGTGATATTGATCACTATGCGTATGGATATGCTGTTTAAAAACATAATGAGGTCAGATCGCTCTTTTTGCATGGGCATGTGGTCGCCGAGGTAAATTTGATGTTATCAATAGAGACATTCACTGAGGTAATTTTCAGCATTAGAGTGTTATTTTGCCATGCATCTTATGCCATCTAGCTGGATCACCGATTTCTGAATACAGGAAGGTAATGATGACAGCATTCCTTATGAAAAACGTCGCAAAAATTTGTGTCTCCATTACATTCAACACTTTTGTAACTCAGATTTTGGCACAGCCCCACTACTTTCTACAATATAATCTTTGTTGGATTCACGCCGAAAGTCAGATTCCATGGGTCTACAATAAAGAGTTTATCTGTGAACTTGATCCATGGAACGGTGGCTATTATATTGACTGGGTGCTTATAGCCACTTATTTTCCTTGCATCAATTTGACATTTGGCCGTCTCAGAAAAGGAGAGTTTGCCCATCCTTTTGATTGGTTCAACATCCTGACATCGGTATTATGTGTGTCTGAATGAATCAATTCCAAAAACTTTCAGTATTTACGCAGTGATTGACACCATTACTGACGTTCTTGAATTCTACAATGAAGACACTGTTCTACGGAATTGTGCTCACTACAGGGTTTACATGGTTGGTTATGAAGGTGACACCCAAAATGTGCTCCTCTTTTGAGACTTGCTTCACAAACCCGCAGAAGCTTCTTTAGTACGCTAGTGAATTGCCAAAGTTTTGGGTCATTTTCAAAGGAGAACAAGTCATTATTCCTGAGATATGCAGTGTCATGTCCTGTTTCTTTCAAATTGTCTGAATGTGCCAAAAAAGTGCAAACAGTATAGACAGGGTAATTAGCCACATTGGGAACCAAACTCTGAAGCAGCACGGGAGCAGGGAAGAAAATATCCAGAATATGAATATGGATAAGCAACTGTTGGTGAACTTCCATTTATTTCTACTCGTAGTTCAAACCTTGAAAATCCGAGCATTTTATTCGACAAAATGTGATGAGGTGTTTTTTCCAAGTCTGTATGTTCAAAGTCATCAAATCTCCACACTCACTATCCATCTCGAGATAATTAACAAAAATAGTTGGGATGACCTCGAATTTAGCGATGGAGATAATGTCGAGATTGTTAGTGGAATGCACAGTGTGGAAGTAAAGCTACTGTGGCAAGCTTGTGGCCATTTTTCAGGGAAATTGCTTCGTCCGCTTTGCTAGCCATAAACTTGAGACTGCATGAACGACTTGCTCAACAACGTTAACAAAATTCGTAGCAACTATCTTCATTTTAGTAGCCACTCTTTGTCACAAAATCTTTTTTCAAGCTGTTGAATACAATTCGGAAACACTTAGAATTCTAGCGTGAAAATGCTCGTTTATTAGGAGTCTAGACGCCAGTACGACAGGCAGAAGAGCCCACGAATTCAGGATTCAAAGATTACCAGATCGCAATTCACAACTTAACGGATTCGTATTAGATTAGTCCGAATTTAGTAATCTAAGTAGAATTCAAGCGATTCATAAAAAGTGAAGGTGATTAAGGTGAAGGTGAAGGCGAAGCGATGAAACTGTACGCCTACTCTTCACAGATGAAGAAGTGAATCATAGCTGCGGCAGTTTGTTTCGAATCATTCGCGCCATGCAGATGAGTAATAAGCAGTTGTTTGCATTCCTTTGGTTCCTTCATTCCGCTCTCGCGTGGTCGATTATTTTGGTCGCTCCCATCTTACCAGCAGATGGTGAAGAAACCTTAGTACAGGAAGCCATAGAACACCAGGACCAAGTAGGATTCACCCCAATCACGACTGCTCTTCAACGTCAAGCGATGTGTCACCGGAGAAACAAGAACCAAGGCGCAGAGAAGAACTTTATCATGCGTGGGAAAATTGACAATAGAGCACGGATCATAGTTGGGTGCCACATATTGTAAAATATAGATTGTCAAAAAAATCTTCAAATCTTTTGCCTATAAATAACAAATTCCAAAATTCTTCAAAAAAATAGAGCTCGCAACAAAAATTTTCATAAGTTTGTGTTGCTTACAAGTTCATGAGCTCCCTAAAAATTCGAAAATTGCTCTAACATCTTTTTTGCATAGGTTTTGCGTTTTTGGGCTTTAGCACCTAGAGCTTTGTTCAGAAAAGGAATTACTGTCAGATATCATGGCAGAATAGTTCATGCAGTTCATCCTCTTCCTCAAGTGGCTTGATATTTTTAGCAAGGAACATCATAACACAATCTTTAAATCAGAAAATCGGTAGTGCAAGTTTAAACCTTTGTTGCAAAAAAAATCGTAATATTTCTAGTACTTACATGCAGAAAAAGTTCTGCAAATGTCATTTTACACAATAAACAGTGACCGTTTGCTTTTTTAACATTTTCAAATAGTTTACTTCGCATTTTTTTCACAAGCTTCTGCAATAAAATCGCTATATTTGGTAGTTCCAATCAGTAACTGAGAATGTGAGAAAATGAGTTAATGACTGGGAATGAATTCCCAAAATGATGAGGGCAAGTTGAATATGGCTGTGAATAGTAGGTTTTGATGAGCTTGGTGCTTAACTGATTTTGGTTTTGTTGAAGGTGTTCATTTGGATTCATCATTATGGTTTTTGAATTTTTCCACCATCTGCTTTATGAAGGGATTTGAGATGTCTGGCTTTTTTATATGGTAAAGTATTTGAAAAGATAAATGAAAAGAAGCAAAATATTAGGGTTGATGCACAATTCTTGCACCAAAAATAGAAAAAAATATATTTAAAAAATGCTTGAACAAGCTAATCAACCTATAAAATATGCTCTTTGTTATGCATGTCAAAAATAGTATTTTATAGTATATTTTAAAAAATCAGTGTGTAACAAAATCAAAAAGTCAGTTTTAGAAAATCGAAATTCGTAACTATTCACAGAGACATCCAATCACTGCCAACTTCTCTTACAAGGGAAGTTCACTTAGTCGAAGTGGCGATTCGGAAGGAGATCAATACCAATGGATAGAGCTTAAAACGCTGATCTCAGATGTACCGTCTATATCTGCGACGCATTGTTCTGAAAAAAGTTATGAGCTTTTCTAAAGCCAAATTTTCGTGCATTTTAGATCGCAAAATCATGATAATCGCTACACAAAAGTGTGCAAGCTTAAGCAAACCACTTAGCAAGCATTTTAAGTCTAAGTCGAGTTCATCCGAACGTTTTCGAGTGTTTTCCGACCATATTGTTTATCCGCTGGTCGCCATTTCCTTCCTACATCACACTTCCATTATATATACAAAAAAAAGCCCATAACCTACAGCTAGAAGAACGCGTCAGATATTGAAAATCTATTTGAGAACATCGTTTTACGTTCTATCCATTGGTAGTTTCCAAAAAAGTTCCCGACGCGACGCGTTTTCTAGGTGGAGGTTATGGGGCTTTTTTGTACACATAATGGAAGTGTGATCTAGGAATGAAATGACGAGCTGTGGATGAACAACACGGTCAAAAAACGCTCAAAAGCATTTGGATGAACTCGACTTAGACCTACAATGCTTACTAGGTGGTTTGCCTAAGCTTGCACACTTTTGTGTAAAGATTATCTTGATTTTGCGACTCAAAATGCACTAAAACATGGCTTTAGAAAAGCTCGTAACTTTTTTAGAACAATGCATCGCAGATATAGAAGGTATATCTGACAAGGAAAGGATACTCGGTGACCGTGGCCATTTGGAATGCGATTTATAACATAAGATGCATTTCAAAACGATGATTTTAAATCCGTGCTTGGTAGCTGCGAAACGATCTTCCGAAGGAAATTATGAACTTTTTTCGTAGAAAATTTGCGTACTTTTGGGTGGTTAAAATCACCAAATCTGTTCTAGGTTACCGTTTGAAGCTGTCGTAGAGAATCTCAAAAGGAATATGTTGTATTATACCTATCTAAATCACAATCAGCATTTGAAAAAAAAAGAAAATTTTTTATTGATGATTTTGGCCCTCCTCATTAGCGCAATTTATTTATGAAAAAATAACCATAACTCCGTCCAAATTATCGTTTCGCAGATATGGAAGTTAGTATTCGAACCAGCATTGAAAGTAGCATTTTTTGATATACAACCATTACGAAAGGCCACGGTCACCAAGTATCCTTTCCTTGT